TGCATCTGAAGAAGTGAGGTTTTTACCCACGAAAGCTTATGCCCAAATAAATCTGTTAGTCTTTAAGGTGCCACCAGACTCCTTGTTGTTTTTATATCACACAGAAGTGACTCTTCATGGCTCTAATCACAGCTGCATTCTCCTCCTCCTGTTCTGAATGTCCCCTTGTGGTTAGTGTTTGTGTAGAACTATCCATTTTTGAGGAGTCCAGAAGACATACTAGCAGCTGGGACTCAATGGCCAACACTCTGGCCCTGCAGCCCCCTGGGCCCTGTGACTGACACCCTGACCCTACATCGCTTCAGGAAGTGGCAATGCAGAATGGAGAATGTTGCAGTTCCTAGCCTTACCAGCCATGACACAGCTCCCCAAAGTCCTGCCTGGATGTGCTGGGGTTGAAATCCCTCCCCTGTTTGGAGAGAGGCATCTAGGAGCCAGATGCTTGATGTTCCTGGGTAGGGTGGAGTGTCTGTCTCTGAGTTCCTCCATTTTCTCTGTTCCAGACAGCACAAGCCGGTTGTCTTCCAATAGCCAGTGTTGATTTTCCCCCTGTTGTGTGTCTGTGCAGGGGATCCTGATAACTCCAAGGTGATGGAGAATGAAACTAGAGCCGAAGGCAGGAGGCAGCCAGCCAAACGTTCTCACAGGCTGCAAGACAACAGCAGGAAGGAGGAGGAAAGCATGACTCCTGGACATGAGTCTGGGGAAACCAAGGTGCAGAGGAAAGAGAACCAGCACCATGAGAGCACCACAGCAGCTAAGGCTAACAGCAGATGCAAAGAGGACTCAGTCAAGGAGATGGACCCCCAACCCAAGGCTGAGAGAGCAGATGAGGAGCCAAAAGAGGCATGTCGTGGGAAGCTCCATCTGCCGTTGTCTCCCCCGAACGGGGTTCGACTCAGCGCTCGCTTGGCTGGGAAGCCGCGCAAGGTGCATGCACTGACCGGCCAGTGCCTGCAGGAGTGCAATGCTAGGGTGTCTGGGCAGGAGGCCAAGAGGCCAAGCACTTCCGAGGGAGGTGGTGCAGAGACACGCAAGAAAGTAGGGCAGGTTTCCAAAGGCCATTCCAAACTAGAGCCCCTGGTGCAAAGGAAGAAGGGCCTGTCTGATGGTCCTGATGAGCTGGACAAGTACCCAGAAGTGGAGGTCAGTATTGCACTGGAGGAGGGGCCTTCTGGGAGCCTGGGTGTATCTCAGCAGAAGTCCCTGCCACATGGGGATGAGGCTGGTGAGCGCAGGTATCGCTGTGGGGAGTGCGGCAAGGCCTTCCTCCAGCTCTGCCACCTCAAGAAACACAGGTTCACCCACACTGGCTACAAGCCTTTCCTGTGCACTGAATGTGGCAAGAGCTACAGCTCTGAGGAGAGCTTCAAGGCCCACGTGCTCTTCCATCGGGGTGTGCGCCCCTTCCACTGCAAGCAGTGTGACAAGGCCTATGGCACTAAGCGGGACCTGAGGGAGCACGAGGTGCTGCACACGGGCGAGCGGCCCTTTGCCTGTGAGGAGTGCGGCAAGACATTCGCCCGCCGGCCCTCCCTCCGCATCCACAGGAAGATCCACCTCATGAAGGAGCTCAACCTAGCCAACCCCAAGGTATGCAAGTGTGCCATCTGTGAGCGTTACCTGGCCAACCCTGGCTCCCTGCGCAACCACATGCGCCTGCACACTGGGGAGAAGCCCTACATCTGCCCCTACTGTGGCAAGGACTTCCGGCAGCAGGGCAACCTGCGCGGCCACCTGCGGCTCCACACCGGCGAGAAGCCCTACAAGTGTCGCTTCTGTGGGGACGCCTTCCCCCAGCTGCCAGAGCTGCGGCGGCACCTCATCTCCCACACTGGGGAGGCCCACCTGTGCACGGTATGTGGCAAGGCGCTGAAGGACCCCCACACGCTGCGGGCCCATGAGCGCCTCCATACCGGCGAGCGCCCTTTCAAGTGCGAGCAGTGTGGCAAGGCATACACACTGGCCACCAAGCTGCGCCGGCACCAGAAATCCCACCTGGAGGACATGCCTTACAAGTGTGATGTCTGTGGCATGGGCTATACCCTTCTGCAGAGCCTCAAGCGCCACAAGGTCACCCACAAGGGGGCCAGAGACTCCATTAAGCTGGTGGAGGCTGCTGTCTTGCTGGGCATGGACATGCCAAAGGCTGCAAGGAAGAGGCTCAAGAGGAAGGTCCCTCAGGAGACGGGTACTGGGGAGCCTACAGTGCTCATGGTGCAGTCAGTGGAGATGCAAGCACCAATAAATGAGGCAGAGCTTATGATAACTGCCAATGGGCATTACATTGCCACTTACCAGCCCCCAGGCAGCCCCCCCGAGTCTGGGGTGCGCAGGGTGCTGGGCAGCGCAGCCCCTGCTGGGCACCTGGAAACGAACAATGACATCATTGAGATCACAATCTCTGAGCACGAACACAAATGTATCATCATGCAGGATGAAGGCTCCCCCAGTGACGTGGTCATCATCCAGGAGGGCGTAGGTTTCGGTGCTGTAGCCGAGGTGGTGGAGGTAGAGACGGGGACCTGACACCCAGCCTCTTCCCAACCCCTGTTTGACTTCTCTACAGCTATACAGAATATAAAATCTATTTTCTAACTTGTGTGTGTTGTCTGTGTTGCTGGGAGACCAGGCCCTACCAAGCAGGATGAGTGGCCAGCAGTGCTTCACACCTGTTCGTGGAGAGATCAGGAGGGCGTGACATAAGGCCTGGTCTACACTAGGAAATTAGGTTGGTGTAACTATGTCACTCAGGGATGTGAAAAATCCGGCATAGTCAGCGCTAGGTTGATGGGAGAATTCTCCTGTTGACTTAGCTACCGTCTCTCAGGGAGGTGGATTACCTACATTAATGGGAGAACCCCTACCATCGGCATAATTAGTGTCTTCACTGAAGAGCTACAGCAGCACAGCTGCACTACTGCAGTGTTTTAAGTATAGACAAGCCCTAAATATCACTAACCCAGGACTCTGGCAGCTGCCCCTCTCTGCTGGAAATCTATAGGTAGCGTGTGCTGGGCCTGGTGAAAGGAAAACACTGGCTGATGGGGTGAGAAACTCATTTCAGAGGAAATCCCACTTATAACTAATGCAAAAGACAGTGCCATTGCTGTCCTGTCCCCAGACTGCTTAAGGGTTAAATGAGCACCATTGCTCTGCAGTGCTCAGGGCTGGCTCTAGGTTTTTTGCCGCCCCAAGCAAAAAAATGTTTGGCGGCTACCCCCTGCCGCCCCAGCTCTCCCCCCCCCCCCCACAACCCCGCCGCACCAGCTCTGGGCTCTCCCCCCGCCGCACCAGCCTTGGGCTCTTCCCCCTCCACCTGCACCCCTTTCTGCCCCAGCTCTGGGCTCCCCTCTTCCCCCCCACCAGTGCCCTACACACACACACACCTCCTGCCGCCTCAGGCCTGGGCTCTCCCCCTTCCACCTGCACCCCCTGCCGCCCCAGCCCTGGGCTGTCCCCTGCCAACTGTACCCTCCTTCCGCCCCAGCCCTGGGTCACTGGTAACTCGCTCCCAGGGTGGGTCATTGAGCAGGAATTTTAGATGTGCACAGAACACAGACAGAATTGGTTCCCATATGATTACAGAACTCTAGTAAAGTGGAACAATTTTCAGCTTGTGTGATTGGAGGATATCTGGAAGCATATTATAAGACTGTCCTCCATAAATGAGGAAAAGTTAAGGTGCCTCTATTATTCTTTTGTTCCACTCTTTGTTTCTATGGGGAATTTGCCAATGCAATATCACTGTCTTCCTTTTAAACAAATAAAACTAAACAAAAAAAAATGGCAATGGCTGTTGAAAATAGCAATTCCAGTCCTAATAACCACTGGGAAGCATTTCTTGCTCAATTTTATCCTACTTTTTCTACAGCAAGTTACAGTGGATCAGTATATTTGATTTGGGAAAAATGAAGTAATAGCTGCCCGAATTGAGCTTGAGCACTCCTGAATGTTGAGGTGTTCAAATCTGGAGGGCAGGTGCTAGATTCCCTTTCTGAATATTAGCTAAATCTGGAAAGGAAAAATCATTTTCTGCTTCCATGGCTCAGACGTGGAAATCCTCCTACGTGCCTGGTTCTGTATCTAAAGCTGCCCCGGCCCAGAGCCTCCCCTCCCTTACTTTTCATTTTAAATTCTAGTGGGATCCACGTACCTCCCTTGCTAGGCTTCAGATAGAGAGGGGCACTGTCCATTTAGTCCACCCAATTCTTTCTTTGGGGGCTGCAAGGTGAGGTCACAGCAGTATCCCTAATCCAGTCTGGGGATGTCTTCAGAAGGGGATAGCTGGGCCAAAGCCTTCTACTCCTTGGGCACACTTGTTCCCCGTTCCCAGGGCCACCCCGCTCTAGCAGTGAGCTCTCCATTCACAGCAAGCTGCAGCATGAGGTTTCAGCTACCTCACTCCCTCCACCTCCCTTTCCTGTTGGTAGCAGCCAAGGGAATGCTGAGAAATGTAGTTCTTTCCCTGCTCCAGGGCTGGCTCTATAGGCAGGGAGCTAACCAAGGAACTACAGCTCCCAGGGCCCCCTATTGGTTCTCAGCTCCCATGCTGGATCCCTGCCACCCCTGCAAATGGGCTGCCCCAAGCACCTGCTTGCTTTGTTGGTGCCTAGAGCTGCCCCTGGCAGTGCTGCTCTGTGGTGAAGGCAAGGAGCGCAAACAAGCAGCTAGTGAATCAATTTTAACCACCCCTCCTCTCCTTGCTTTGGTTTCGTTCCACAGTTGCACTGCAGTATTTCAATTATTTCTTCCCCTTTCGTCCGCTGAGGGTGATCGTAGCACCAGGCACGGCTGAAGAGATGCTGAGCCAGTTACCAAGGGGTTTATAAAGTTCTTTTGTTTTAAAGATTACTCTTTACAATTAGAACAAGCAAAGCTCCATCCCATTCCCCACTAGAGGCCAGGACAGGACGCTTCTCCTCCATATGGTCTGTGTTTTGCCTGTGTTTAGCCTTATATAATAATTCAAGGGCATGACAGTAGTTGCTCCCTGGGATTTCCCTCTTGACCTCTTCCCTACAGGCTCTGCTTCAGCACCTCCTTTGGCGCCTACAGTAGTGAATGGGTCAGCACTGCATTGCAAATGGGACACCGAACGCTGTCTTCAGTTTCCATGGGCTGAACCCCTTCTGCCCCAGTGAGGGTAGTTTGTATGCACTGTGCATTTCCTCTCCATTAAAGGGCTCTGGTCTTGGAGTGGCTCCTTTTCCCTTTGCTGTGGAAAGGCTTTGGGTCTCTTTCCTAGTCACTCATGGGAGAACCGAGCTCGGGGGGTCTCCCATGGCCTTACACCAAGATTTCTACCAGTGAAAGACAGCAACAAATGGGCTCTTCCCCAGGGTGATGTGGCTTCATTTCAGCTGAGCCAAAACCCATGCCCATTAATCTAATTTTGAAACTCCTGGCACCTGTGAACAGGGGGTCGTACTTTCCTTTTCTAGCAATCATGCAGTCCTAGCCTCAAATCCAGGAAGAGGCCACGCTTGTGCCCTCGCAGAAGGCAAGAGTTCAGCCTTGGACTTGGCTGTTACTGAATTGTGCCCGTATCCCTTTCCTGTGAGGTGAACTGAGGGCAAAGAGCTTCTGGAAGCCAGTCTTCATTAGTTGCTGTTATTAGATGCTCAGGGTAGGGCAGAGCTTTTTCAGCAAAGGCTTATTGGCCATCACTGGATCTGTGTTTATTCCCATCAGTAAAAACAACGAGGAGTCTTGTGGCACCTTAGAGACTAACAAATTTATTAGAGCATAAGTTTTCGTGGGCTATGACCCACTTCTTCAGATGTATGGAGTGAAAATTACAGTAGGCAGGCATAAATATACAGCACAAGAAAAGATGCCATTGCCTTACCAAGTTGGGGGGGGGGTCAATGATTCAATCAGGGTGGGTGTGTCCCATTCCCAACAGTTGACAAGAAGGTGTGAATGTCAACAGAGTAAAAATTACTTTTTATAGTGCTAACTATGCCAATTCCATCAGCATGGATGGCCAATACTTCTTGTAGTGACCCAGCCATTCGCAGTCTTTATTCAGGCCTAATTTGATGGTGTCAAGTTTGCAAATGAATTCCAGTTCTGCAGTTTCTCGTTGAAGTCTGTTTTTGAAGTTTTTGTTGTTGTTGAAGAATGGCCACTTTAAGTCTGAAATTGAGCATCCAATCCCAGTGTGCAACCTGCCACCATCCAGCACAGTGTGTTTTGAGAAGTTTTGGCAAGGCATGGTGGGGTAGAAACAAGTTGTGCAGGGGTTACTGGGAGCAAGGGATCAGGTTCCCAGAGTGCAACTGTCTCCATCCCATAATGTCATCTATATCCCATAATTTTCACACTTTTGTTAAAAAGCCCGCATACCCATGCAGTCCTCTCAGTCCACTATTTCTGACAGAAGCATGGAGCCTGCACAGCTCTGCACTATTGTCCTAAACATTGCAAGCACAGGACACACGATCCTCTGGTATTTGCCAAGCCATAAGAACCACCGCATCAGTGGGGAACATAACAGCTTCTTGGAGGACAAATTAATGTGGGACAGTGAGAACTAATTCAAGGTTTCTGGTGGTGTTCGCAGAGCAGCTGCATATGGTTGAGCACTGCTTCTGGGCTTGAGAAATGAGCACTGATGGGTGGGATCAGATCATAATGCAGGCTTGGGATGATGAGCAGTGGCTGCAGAACTTTCAGATGTACAAAGCCACATTCCTGGATCTGCGCACCAAGCTCGCCCAAGCCTTCCAGCGCAGGGACACAAAAATGAGAACTTCACTGACATTGGAAAAGTAAGTGGCAATCCCACTGGGGAAACTTGCAACACCAGATTGCTACCAGTCAGTGGGAAATCGTTTTGGAGTTGGAAAATCCACTGCAGGAGACTTTGTCATGCAAGTGTGCAGGGCCATTAATCATCTCCTGTTATCCAGGACTGTGACTCTCGGCAATGTGCAAGACATAGAGGATGGATTTGCAGCAATGGGGTTCCCGAACTGCGGTGGAACAATAGATGGCATTCAAATCCCTATTTTGGCACCTGGCCATTTTGCCACAGAGTAGATCAACAGAGAGGGCTACTTTTTTCTGTGATTATGAAAGCATTGGTGGCTCACGGGGGATGCTTCACCGATAAAATGGTGGCTGCTCAAGGAAGGTGCATGTTTAAGAACACAGGACTTTTCAGAAAGCTACAACTGGCAATGTTGAAGTGCCACTAGCAACCTTGGGGGGGATCCAGTCTCCCCTGCTCCCTTGCCTCTTGAAGCCATACACCAGCCACCTCAACAGCAGCAAGCAACTAGCGCCCAAGTAGGGTAATGGTTGAATGTGCTTTTGGTAGATTGAAGGGACGCTGGCATTGTTTACTTACAAAATTGTATCTCAGTGGGGAAAAAAATCCTAATAGTTATAGAAGCCCACTGTGTCTTGCATAAGATCTGTGAAGCAAAGGGGGGAAAGTTGCCACAGGGCTGTAGGACAGAAGTGGAGCAGCTGTTAGCGGAGTTTGAACAGCCAGATACAAGGGCTGATAGAAGAGCTCA